AGAGTATCGTGGAAAGAAAAGAAATTAAGGGAGGTAGTGCTTGATGAAGCCCACGTGGAACGCTCAATGTTAAAAACAATCAGGAAACGACAAATGCAGTTTTTGGGACACCTGAATGGACATAAAAGGTCTTGAACATCTAGCTCTCACTGGCAAAATTGAAGGCAAACGAGGCAGGGGTAGGCCCAGAGCAACCTACTTAGGGAACCTAAACAAATGGGTAACAGGGAAAGATCAGGGAAACGTAGCTTTTTTAAGAGCATCCAAGCAAAGGAATGAATGGAGAACCGTGGTCGCCGATGTCTGTCGCAGATCTGGCTCTGGATGATTAGTATTGAAATCAACAAAACTGATTCTTATGACAATGGTCTGGACATTCCATGAAAGGGGACTTTTTTCTGGGTCTGCTGTTCGCTCCTTTCTCGTTCTTTTATACACTCTCGTCCTTCCTTCAACTCAACTTGTGTCATCACTCAATTGTTCATCCTCAGAGATTTCTCTTTCTCCTTAACTCTCCGCCCTTCCTCCTTGCGTTGATACAAGATTGATACAAGATTGACACAAGATTTATACAAGATTGACACAAAATTGATACAAGATTGATACAAGATTGATACAAAATGGACACAAGATTGATACAAGATTGATACAAGATTGATACAAAAGGGACACAAGATTGATACAAGATTGATACAAGATTGATACAAGATGGACACAAGATTGATACAAGATTGACACAAGATTGACACAAGATTAACACAATCCAGGAACAGAAAACATCCGCGACTACCCCGACTACCCCTACCATAGGTGACACAAGTACCCGCCGTCTTGTCTCTCTATTCCACTGAGCTCATGGCCGTTAACATCAACCAATTAAACACCCCCGGAGTGGTGCCACTGACTCAAGTGTCTTTAGGCTGTTCCCAAAGGGCTGATTCATTAAAGTAATGCTCATAACTGTGCCTGAACTACAACAGGGGACTGCTATCTTCTCTTCCCTAATCCTTACTATCGTCACTATCCTCTATTTCTTTCGTATGTTTGTCACACTCTTGTGACCCGCTATTTCCGGGGTGCCTTGATAGTCTTTGTGCTGTTGAAGCTAGAGAGGTGAGCCGAGTAAGTCTGATTCCCTGTAAGGACTTATCTGTTGACATCCACCCCTTGGCGCTCATCTGACCTTATGCAGTTGCGAGTGCCGTAAAACCTCTACTAAAACACAACGAACAAACAATTATAAGCGTAAACCTTCGCACGGTGTTATTGAACTCAAGACTTCCCCCTATCTAATCTGTGACGAGGCAGCCATCTCTGTCCGCCAGGGCTCCCCACACGGAGTGTTGCAGGCTGCGGTCACCGAGTCGAGAGCTCCTTGAACTCCAGGGACATGGGCTGTATCGATAACTGGACAGATGAAGATGGGCGTGTCACAGATAAAGATGAGATATCGGGGGGCGCCACACCATGGTCTGACATCCATGGAGGTCGTGCCGTCATATCTATATATAT